AAGCTATAAATTGGCTGCGGTGGCTCGTAGCGTCCTTTGCGGTCCATGGGCTATGGAGAAACAAGGTATAGCAGTGTACGCATCCCTCCTCTCCGATTCGTCGACGCCAGATCGTGCTGCGCATAGGCGTGAAATATACTTATTTGTTTCAGTGAGCTGTATCTATGCCGTCACTGCCGTTTGTTTAGTCAAAACTATGTGGCTGACGCCACAGGTAGTCGCGAATATTTAATAGACTTCGCGCCGCCACTCGCAAAAAGGCGCAACTCACATTTTATTGCGTTGAACCGCTGCCGATGAACTGGTAACCGCCATATGAGATTACGGTTCTGTTCAGGTTCAGGTACAATATCGAATGATTGATTTCGGTTGCAGTTTTGTTCCGGTTCAGTTAAAAATAGTAGTTTTTTGCTCCGGTTATCGGCTCGGGTTCGGTTCGACACCCTCGCTAAAAGCTGCACTCTAAGAAATGTCTGCGAGTCTACTTACCCGCGAAACACTCAGAGACTCAATCACTGCGATTTACGAAATCAGCTACGCGAATGATGAGGCGCTACATCTGTTTAGACCTCAAAATTAAGCGTGCGCTGCGGCACTACGCAGAGCAAGCATGACGCTTTTCATTACGTAATGCCACAGCGCAGACTTCATTTTGAGGTCTAAACGAATGTTCCGCCTCATCATTCGCTGAGCTGATTTCGGAGATCGCAGTGATTGGCTCTCTGAGTGCTTTGCGGGTAAGTAGACATGCAGGCATTTCTTAGAGTGTGCGTGCTAATCGCGCATGATTACAACATACGCTTTGTCGCGTCTTGCGGCGCCAGGAACGACACCTTGTTTTTACAACTATTCAGTTTCGGTTGCTTCACGAAGGGTGCGCCATCTTGATCCTTGAAGAGGCATAAGCCAGTGAGACTATAAAGCCGTCAGTCAACTCCCGTGCAATGATGCTGTTTAAAAGCCCCCTTTTCATGCGCTAACGAATTGCGCCATAAGCCCGGAGGCCCTAGATGAACTCGACACAGCTCGCATAAGAACCCAGCCCAGTCCATTCCCATTCTTTTCCGGGCAACAGGTATCCAATTCCATTTCCATTCTATTCGCCAACCCCCCTTCCACCGTGATGCCGCCATTCCATTCCCATTCCATTCCGGGGTGGCGAAAGTTCTGAATGATTCCGGAATCATTCCAACTCCGAAGTTGCAACTCCGTAAAACACTGCGATGAACAGGCTGTCACGGCGCGACCGACGGAAAGGCGATGCAGAACGTCGGGGGGTTGAAGTATGGGAACCTCGTGGTGCTGTCGACGCTGGTGACGGAGGGCGACGGAGGTATTCTTCGACGTCTCTTGGTCGTTCTCCAAAGCGAGGTCGACGATCCTTTGGCGCGAATCCTCGCAGGCCGAGCTGGCGGTAGGGGCACCTTCGCTAAATCTGGTCAGCCTTGCCGCAGTGGAAGCACACCGAGCGACCGTCAGCCGCGCGCCACACATCGGTCTTTCGACGCCCACGCTGCTCTTGGCGCAGGGCATACTGCGCCGAAGAGACCTCTCCTCGTAGTGCAGCTGGGTACTGCCGGGTTACAGGAGGCTGCAGACGACGAGCAACTGCGGCTTAAGTCAAAGCTGGGAGCTCCGGTGCGGCGTCGGCAAAAAAGTCTGGCTGGAGCGCTTGCTGGACCTCGTTTCGAACAATCTCGGCGATTGAGAGTGAAGCTGGACGTTCGGCGGCTGGTACCAGCTTCTTGAGTTTTTCACGAACGATGTCCCTGATCATTTCGCAACTCCCCAGGATATCGGAGCTGAAGGCGTATCTGCACGGCGTGGGTGTAGCGACGCCAGGAACTCAATGGTAGTGGGTCGCTCGTGCTTGCAGGGCCCATTCAATGTTGGTCGCCTCCGTTATAAACGTCATGATAGTGGTAAGAGGACATCGCAGAAGGCCTCCGGAGATGTTCTCGTTAACACCTCGCATCAAGATTCTCAGCTTCTTTGCTTCGGGGGCTTGAAGATCGATGCGGCTGCTGAGTCTAAGAATATCTTCGACAAAGCTAACGACGCTCTCGTCAGGGCCTTGAATCCTTGTTTGAAGAAGCTCTTCGGCGGGTTCTCTCCGCTATTAGTTAGTGAACGTGCCTCAAAGCTAAGCCCTCAGTTGTTCCCAGGAGGTGATGAACGCTTCATGGTTCTCAAACCAATTCCGTGCTGTGGCCTGGAAAGTGAAGTAAACATTCTGAAGGCACTGCTCCGGTGTCCATCCGTTATGGTGTGAAGCTCGTTCGTAGTGTTGCAGCCAATCCGCAATGTCCTCGTGGACCTCCCCGTGAAAAGGCGCCGGAGTACGAGGTGCGACGGGCTGGTATACGACGGCCGCGGCGGTCAGCGTCTGCGACGACAGGTTGGCCATCATCGCACTCGTTGACTGCTTATTGCTGAGCGGCAAAGTCTAATTTTTATGGTTAGGCCTTGGGTGCGGGTACTTGAACGGGTCTCGGTCTTCTCTTCATTCGAGTCTTCGTGGGTGTGGGGTCGGACTTGCACTGCGGGCCCTTGGAGGGGTACGCTGCACCGACATGCGTTTCCCAGCACCTCCCTCAAAATATCACGAATAACAAATGATGAGGTATTGAATAATTGAAGAAACTAAACGTTTAATGGGGTGAAATATTTCCCAAAACAAAATAAATGAAGCGTCGATGTCGGTGAAATAACAGGATCGAGGGCTGGTGCGAGACTGACCCCGGCTTCCTATGCGGAGCCCCTTATGTACACGGGTGGGCTTCTGGAACAACGGGCGTATAAGGTTCGGCGTGTAGAACATTTTAACCTCGAATAAGCAACATGGTTCTCGAATTTACCAGAACGTGACATTACAGAGACAATAAAAACGTGTATCTGCTGCCAGACATCGGACCTCGGCTTTATGCGTGGGGGGCCGGGGGGGGGGGGGGGGGGGGGGGAGGGGGCGCTAGCACGATAACCGTTATGCCACGGGTACGTGCGCTGCCAACTTGGCCAGCTGCGCGCGCAGCATTCTTGGAAAAGAGATAAAAAAAAACTGTATGAAAAAAAGGATTTCATAAAACAAATTTACAACGAAAGAAAAAAATAAACAAAGACAGTTAAGAGTGCTTACGTGTAAGAATTCGGAAATATTCCTACACGCAGCGCATTTCTAGAGGCAGCGCGTCACGTCTCCCTTTTTCACACGGCGCTTCGGCGGTGATATCACGCTCCACCACTGCGCAGGCGCGGCACCCCCTCCGGCTTCACGGCTTTCGGGACGATGCATCTGCGTTGCTGCGCTTTTCTGTGTGTGTTATTTCTGAGGTACGTCCGCTTTGACCTTGAGTGCCCCACTGGCTTCCTTGACGAAACATCAGCGTTACTCTTATTTTGGCCAATGGGAATTCAGATGGCGTTTCGCTCAACCAATGGGGGCTTAGGTGCCGTTTTTCGCGTGTACATTGCGTTTTTCGCGTGTACCGGTGATGTGTCACTCTGGCTGCATTTCTTCGCGGTGTTGTTGCACCATCTTAGCAGAGTGTCAATACCCCCCCCCCTCCCTCATCTTTCTGTCCCTTCCATACCAGACACAGCACGCAAAGCTAACAGGTGCTGATTATTGAGAGCGTGCGACACCTAGACGGGGCGCGGGAAAGCACACGGGAAGCCAGTGGTTGACAGCGCCACGAAGTCAGCGTCAGCGTTTAGTGAGGTTGATACCATGGCTGGGTACCCAATCGGACCTCTGCCCGCAGCATCTTTGCCGTGGCTGCACCTTCTCGCGGCCGTGTTTCTCGATCTCATTCCGGAGTGAAGGTGTGTGTGACAACCTGAAATTCGAAAACCTACCCGCCTCCAGCATTCTCTGTGTGTGTTTTCACTTCATTCGACCAGAAGTTACTCAGAGATTGGTTTCAATCGTGTGTCCCGGAGTTGTAAGCGCCAACGGCGGCAACACGACGCCATCTTTTTCTTTCACCTGCTCTGGAATATGCCTCTGCAAAGCCTTCGTGTTCGCGGCGGTCTGGAAATCACTACCAAATGGCGTTCATCACAGCCAGTAATTGATAACATTTACGTCCCTCTTTCCTTTTTACCTTCTAAAAAAATTTCCTTGTATATAAAAAAAAGCTTCTGCTGAAAGACGCCACAGCATGAGGAAGCAGTTTTCACTAAAACTCGTTGGTAGGCAGCCGTGTCGTCTCATATCTCTCCTGTTTTCTCTCTACCTTTATCCCTAAGTTCAGGCTCTTTTTATTTAAGTATGTACCAACAGGCTCAACTCATCACCGTTACTGATAACTTTTACGTGAGAAGTATTTTTCGCTCCTTTTACTATCCGATTGCTCTTTGCTTGCAGGCGGATTGAATAGACATGCTGGAATTGAATTGACCGTGACGGTATTTGCCGGCGCATAAAGGGCAGGGGATCAGTGTACTCAAGTTCGAGGTCTAGTGTAAAAAAAAGTTAGCGCCGAGTGCGGCCCTGAACGTAGCACTGTGCTAAGATAAGCCAAGCTTAGAAACTAAGGCTGGCTTCTACACAGAATGTCTACGCCTGTCTGGTCGCGTTTAACATGATATGCTTTTGCGAGGAGCGGCACCGTGTGGCCACCGTCTCGTTGCGCACTTCCAATTCCTACAACGCACAACGAGGAGGAAGGGTCAAATCGTTTATACGCTATTTGATGTAAACATTAATGTCGCCGCCGCTCAGTGTTGCCAGTAGAGCGGCAGTTAGTGATTCGGGCGCGTAAACTTTAAAATTTGTTTTTTCAGGAGAAAATAAATATGTTGCTAGGATATATCGTAGACTTGTGCAGGGGTAAATATTTAGTACACGCTAAATGTTTTATGGAAATTGATGGCAATTAATGCTTCGCAGGATCTCTCCTTCAAACACGTTGCTTCTACATTCCGCAAAAAATAAAAAAATAAAAAAAATTGCGTTGTCTTGTTTCGAGGTTATAATTATGCAATTGTTACATTTTTAGGTGGACGCTCCCGTTAGACTGCGATTCTATATTGCACTATAAGCAACATGCTCCTCCTACTTCCCGCCGTCGTGCTTATTATACCGACATTTCAAGTTGGTAAGCCGTATTATTATATAAATATTTAACAAATATAATATATTCTTACTTATTTCTTTCGAGTTTTTTTTTGCTAGTTTTTCTTCTTTAAAGAAACACTTGTGATTGGGGGCCACTGCTGCTCTCTGAACGTCGTTTGATATTGCAAGCAATGCTTTAGAACGTCAGGTGTCTGACGAGGTTGGAACAAGTACTGTCAATATACATATCACCAAAAGGAAGTCGGTGCATCGCATACCATTTAAGAGTCTTACACAGGCTACACTGTTGAACTGCTAATCTTTCGTGTATTACAGGCATTCAAGAATGCCGGTAATGTCGCAGATGTCATGTCGCAGATGAAGCGGTCGCGACCCCCCTGAATATTGTGGTTTTGGAAGCTGTACAGAGGGTTAAGCAATCAGTTATTAAAAAATGCACTTAATGTGTAGTTCTAAAAATAACGGATGATGATGTTTATCGATATCATCGGTTGTTTTGTGCAGACAGCCCAATTTGCAACTGCGCCATTAAAATGCTTTTTGAATGACCTCAATTGTCACAAATAAAAATGATTGGAAATGACATAACTATCAATGTTTAATTAGCCGAACTTGAGCCTGCAATCTTAAAAAGAAAGGAACCAGCATTTTATTCAATGTTCACGCAAACGTGCATAGCTTGTGATTGCTCATAAACGTAATACTAATACTAACAATAATCTTCTTGCCTTGGTTTTACCTTAATAACGTTTTTTTTTTTCAGAGGGGTTTTATTTTTCTTTTGAAAATCCTGATGTTACCTGCGTCAACATTATTGAGAAAGCGGGAGGTTTACTTTGCAAATTCCAAGGACATAATGTAAGTCTTGCGAATAAAAAAATACACATGAGATACTTTTAGATAATCCAAAGCGATTTTTTTTTTATAATGCGAAGACTCAATATTTGAGACCATTTTTACTAAAAGCCTGCGTTTAGCATGAAAACTCGTAATATTTAAGGAAACACGGAATGTTTCCAAGCTAGTGACACATCGCGTATACATAGGGGCACATAACGTGAAAATACGCGGCGCTTTTTTTTTTTACATCGTCCTTTTTACTGGTGTCAGGTGGAGCGAGTCGTTTGACAAGCACGAAACCAGTCTACAGGTATTCAAGAGGTGAAAACTCCTGGACTTGAACATTCTAAAGGGTTTCATTCTGGAAACATTGTCTGGCGTGAAAATATTCTAGAATTCTTAGCACGAACAAGTACCTAAGGTTTCTCGTGCCCATTCGTTTCTTTGCGCTAAGGTCACGCTAGTTCTTTTACTAGCAGAGTATAACACATGCCAAGGTTATTTAAGACATGGGGCAATCTCAGAAAACTCTACGGTGCACTTGACAACAGCCAACGTCGCAGATCAACTCACACACTAATAGCCCCTTCCCATACATCTCTGATGAACTCATAAAACAATCGCCCATTCCTATAGAGTGTAAAGGAATGGGTTATTAGTTTATTAGTGTGTAAGTTGATTACCGACGTTGGCTGTTGTGAAGCTTTGGGGTGTATCCCGACACGCAGCTGCGGCGGCGCTGGTGTCGTTGCGGCACTACCGCGGGCACTGACGCGGATCTGGTTCCTGCGCGCGCGCAGTGCCTACACCTGTTGAAAAACACCGCGACTAGGACGAACACGAAAATAAGAAGAGAACACCGTCCCAGTCGAGCTGAAGAGATTAAAATTAAAATTAACTGTTGGGCTAGTTGGGTAAACATCTTAATTACAAAAGCGCAAAGGAGAAGGACAGAACAAAGACATGAAAAGGACAAGGGCTTACTAACAACTGCATTAAACAATCAGTTGTTAGCAAGCTCTTTTCCTGTTCATATCTTTGTTCCCTCCTTGTGCTTTGCGCTTTTGTAATTAAGAGCTGAAGAGAACACAAGGCTAGCGCTGATCTTCTCTTCGTCTTTTTGTCCTCGTACCAGTCGCGCTATTTTTCAGCATGAATACTTACCAATTTGCCGAGTTATCTATCCTTATGAATATCATGCCTACACTTGGTATGGGCAAATGCTAACTCGTTTGTAAAGAGGTCCCACCGGCACACCGCTGAAACACCAAGTCCGCGTGTGGTGTGGGCAGTGCTTGTGCACAGGAACCAGACCCCTCGTCAAGTTATTCCTCTGCGCATGTGCTGCGTCGACAGCAGTGCCACCTCAGCTGCGCGACATCAGGGCCGGGTGCCGGTGTTTACATCTCTTCAAAAAACACCAGGCTACAGAAAAATAGGTTTTTTGAGGTAATTCACTGGGTTTGAGGCTACTCTCACCGCCGTCCCTGCTGAACCTAACCGAGTGGACTGTTCATTTTGATAGAAGCAGCCTGCGTAGGCGCAATATCAGATATTGCTAGCTGCTGAATTCTCGCCTTTTCCCGCAAATTTTTGCGTTTCATGATGTAGATATTTTGCTTTTTAAATTTAAACACAACACCAAATTTAAAAAAAAAAACTAAAAAAAAAGCTAACCTTTTTTTGGGGAGGGTTACGTGTGCGGCAAAGCGAATGCTACTGGATTGTTTGTTTTATATTACGATACGTTTTGATGCCGCTGCCCGCTCCGTCGTGTCAATCGACAAAGTGCTTAGCTGTCGAAACTAGTTTTCCAGAAAAGATAGCCGAGAAAGCGTGCATATTTATGTCCCGCAAATGACGTGATTAACAACATACAGCGCCGAAAGGGCAAGAGCCAATTATTTTATTTCATGCAGTTTTATTATGATAAACGCAGCAATACTGCCGCGCGAGCAGCTGGCCAACTAGGCAGGGCGCCCGTACAGAGCTGGCAGTAATGCAATTACTGTAATAAAATTACAGTAATTTAATTACTTGTTCCAGAAATTAATAATGTAATTCATTACTTTTTGTAGCAGGTAATTTAGTAATGTAATGAATTACTCCAGCGACGGTAATTGTAATTAAATTACCTAATTACTTTTTCGCACCAGGCATATTTTTTGTGTCCACAATACACAAGAGCACTTTTCTTTTTCTTTTTCTTTTTCTTTTTCCTCTACACCTTTCCAAAAAACGCTCTTTGGCCGCCGCTATGTTGCTGATGCTAATGCGGCTGGTGCGACTCTCGCGCCCGCCATCAGCTAGACATTTTCTGCCACTCTCTTGAACTGTGAAAACCCGCTCAGCGCGATTCTCTACCTATGTTTTGCGGTTTTGCATTCGACGTTTTCTGGCCCCTCTTGAAAGTTTCCGCTTACTTTTTCTGATGCATGCTGCGTACCCTCTCTATGTTATCTTCCACTGTGAGAAATAGGGCTGGTAAGTGCCTTCCATTCGAGCTTTTCTGCTCGACATTCTCGGGAAACGAAGGAGGGGAAGTAGGTCGAACTAAGGCCCCTGGTGGAACGGCCTCGACGCGATTTTGCGAAAAATGACAATTGTTCTCCCCCCACCCAAAGATAATCCGCGTAGGGTCCTCAGTCATCTCCAGAAATAGTTGTCCGGGTTGGGGTGGGAAACGGATCAGTCGCGTGCGTTCCTATGTCCATCGGTAAACATTCAACAGAGAGTTCCAGCTGTGTGCCATGAACTGTGTAAGTAATGTAAATAACGTTATCTGTAAAAGGAAGGTATCAATAGCTCCTTTATATTTAAAAGTATACAAAAGTAATGCGAAAGTAATGTCATTACTTTTAAAAGTAATTTGTAATGGTAATTAATTACCTTCTGGCTGTGGTAATTTGTAATGTAATTTAATTACATTTCAGAAATTTTCAGCAAAGTAATTAGTAATGTAATTTAATTACAAAATATCAGTAATTTGGCCAGCTCTGCGCCCGTAGCCTAACGGTTGTCGCTCTTTCCACCCACGCGAAAAGCCGAGGTTCGATGCCTGGCCGCGGATACACCTTTTAGTTTTTTTCTTTTTTGTAATGTCGTGTTCTGGTAAATACGAGAACACTGTTGCTCATTCGGGGTTAAAATGTTCCACGGGCCGAAACTTCTACGCCGATTGTTCCAGAAGCCCACTCGTCCCCATGAGAGACTTTCCGTGCCGACCCGGAATCAGTCTCACCCCAGGGTTCGATCGTGCTGTTTCGCCGCCATCGACACCTGCGATTCTAGCCTTGGTCTATTTTGTTTTGGGCACAAGTTCGCCCTGTGAAACGCTTAGTCTGCTTCAGTTTTTATCGCCTCATCAATTTTTATTCGTGACATTTTGGGGGAGGTACAAAGTATCGCAAAGTATCGCCAGGTGAGGTGCTCAGCCCCGAAGGCTACTCTTCGCACAAGATGCCGCCGCCCAATCAAGCATCTACACAAAAGGCCAGCTCCCGGTATCCTAAACCCTGCCGCAGGAGCCAAGAAGATGACCGCGACGATGACTACCTCACCGGTCCTCGTCCTGCCCGTTCACGGTGCAGCCAAGGAGGATCTAGAGGGGTGGTTGCAGCATTATAAACGTGTAGCCCGCCACAACGAATGGATGGCTGAGCAAGGCCTCCATAACCTCTACTTCTGGCTTGAAGGCACTGGTTTGAGAACTACGAAGCCTCCTTTACTTTGTTGGAGTCATAAGCCGCCGAACTGAAGCGGACGTTTATCAGCCACCACCGTCAGCAGCGAGTGGAGTACCTTCTTCAATCAAGGGTGCAGGATTGCAACGAAAGCTTCAAAAGCTTTGTTGACGATGTCCGGCACATACGAGCCCGAGCCGAAGCGGAGGCCGCCGAGGGGAGATAACTTCGCTCCCTCATACGTGGCGTGAAGACTGACATTTCTGGAAGCCTTGTGCGCAATTCCCCGACGACTGTCTGTATCGAGCGTGCACTGACGGCCCGAGCAAGCCACTACCACCGACACGCCGGCGCGCCTACTGCTCCAACCGTCGCAGCTACCCGTCTGGACTTGAGCACCACAAGTATCGACAGCCTTCAGGAGATCGCCCGGGATATCGCGCGGGAAGAGTTCCGCAAGATCCTACCTGCTGCAGATCATCCATCTTCACTCTTACTCGCCGGGGTCGTCCGAGACGAGGTTCACTGTGCCTTCCAGCCCGAGACTACGGTCACCGGAGCAGCACAGGACGAGCCTGTCCTAAGCTACGGTGCAATGATCCTACGAGCACCACCAGCCCCGTGTCCGTACATGGCGCTCCCCCGACACGAACCTCCAGCGCCGTAATATCCCCGACGCCAGTAAGATCGGGCGCACGTTCGCCCAGAGCATGCCGTGGCAAGTGAGACCGACGTGAGGGAGATGGCCGATAGGCGACAGCTGTGTTAACACTGCGGTGAGGCTGGCCACGTCTACCGGAGGTGCCCATACCGCCAAATGTGCCTACGAGGGTTTGCCCCGAACGACCCTCGTCCAAGGTACGGCGAACAACCTCGCGACATCAAGGAATACCTTCGTCGCCCTCCGACACATGCGCCGACAGCACCACGAGATTCCCGTTCTTTATCGCCCCGACTTTCCTCGTCGTCTTTCCGTCGGTCGCGCCGTGACAGCCTGTCTCCTCTGCCCCATTAAAAAAACTAGCAGCAACAACGCCTGGAAGTGGTGTTACCGAAAACTGCCGAAGTAAAGAGCCTAAAGAACACCCGAGCGCTGCCACTCTCCCGACGCCACGCACCGCAGCGTCGCTTTTGCAACGGTGCCCAACAATCTAAATGTTGTTATCGACGATCAGGACGCATCGGCCCTCGTGGGCACCGGTGCAGACTTATCAGTCTTGAGTGGGAGGCTCTCTTGTCGCCCGTGAAAGGTTACGACTCCCTGGGGTGGTCCACATATTCGAACCGCCGGGTGACACTTTATTGCGCGCGTCGGAAAGTGTACTGCCCAAGTCG